CACACACACATGTGTACTCATAGACATGCAGAATTTTCTCTCAGAAACGGATATGTGCATGTCATTAAGACCTGCTTTTGTGTATCTTGTGTTCACGTATGACTTATGCACCTACATCAGTGTAATGATATGTGTGCACTTAGTTTTTTCCCGAATATATCGTGTAGATCGTAGTTCGTTTGTGGAAGACCCGAAAACCTGAACGAGCCTCTTTCCTAGAAATGTCATGATGCCCAACATGTTCAAGATCCTATATAGAGAAGCCTCTCAGACAATTATTTCTTCTGGACCCGCTCTGCTTCGGAAACCCAAGCCTTAAATAACCCTAAACCCTATAGACCCTCTCAAAACCCTAGAAGCCCTAAACGCTTAGGAAATTCATAACTCCTGTGTCACAGGAGACGACCCCTGCAACCTCAGAGCCGCCAGCCGCCACGCAGACGTCAGGTCTGGACCCGGAGAAGGCACCGTGGGCATAAGCCCTGAAACTTGAACTAGGAAACCTTAGCACTTTATAGGGTTCCTATAGGATTCTATATATGGCTTCTATATTGTCTCCACTATAGTTGCTCATTTTCCGTCTTAGCCGGTTTAGTGTAGTTATGGGTTCCTACATAGCAGGATCCCAGTCCTAGCACCTTACCCCTAACCGCCCGCAACCATGCTGAGCCGTCAGTCTTCAAACCTCAGAAAGCCCCGTCGTGCATACCTATAGTCTCCATTGTAGTTCCTTTTTTTTGGTTCAAGCAATAATATAATAAGGATTGTATAAGGTATATATTTATATATAAAAATATCACCAAAAAGGAGCTACAATGGAGACTATAGGTACTCTAATAATGTCTGCAACTCAATGCTCGGTAGCCTGTATAATTCTCTATAAACCCCGAAACTGAATAAAACGCCGGAGCCCTGAAAGCATCACCCAAACCAAGGACGAGCCCCACTGTCTCGCAGTTAAGCCTCGTGGCCCTGTCTTCTTGAAGACCAACTGGCTAGCTTTCGAAAGCTACAAGATTCTGGGGTTTATAGAGTCTTTAGGGTTTAGGGGTTTAGCGAGTCTATACAGGGTTTGCTTATATATAATCTCCATTATAAGTCCTTCTTTTCTAAAACCAATTCTATAGCTATATATAGGACCCTATGTATAAAGGAACCTCCAAACAGGGGAACTAAACCCTAAACCCTAAACCCTAAACCCTAAACCCTACCTATAGTCTCCATTGGAGTTCCTTTTTGGGGTTACCTTATAGGATCCTTAATATAATATTGGTTCAACCAAAAAAAAGGAACTACAATGGAGACTATATAAACCCTATAAACCCTAAACCCTAAACCCTAAACCCTATAAACCCTAAACCTAGGATAAGGTTTCGGCGATTCTCTGGGGCCCCGATCCTGTCCAGGCGATGCTGCAGCGAGCCAGCTTGCCTGCCGATGTCGAAAAGATCAACTCCAGTACGCACAAGCTAGAGTGGAACTGCTTGTACCGGATGGTAACACCGAATGCCAAAGGAGCCATCAAAGTCGACCGGGAGATTTATGACAAATGGAACAGCCACCCGGGTACACTTGGATATCCTCCATATTATGCCTATATAGACACCCTTAATTAACAAACCGGAACTGTAACTATACATAGTTATATATATATATATGTATATATGTATATATATATGTATGTAGTCTCCGTTGTATAGTTCTTTTGGGGGTTACCTTCTAGGATCCTTGCTATAATATCGTTGAGCCAAACAAAGGAACTATACAATGGAGACTATATATATATATATACATCTATATAGGTATTCCTTGGGGACTGCACCCACACTGTCACAGTCGATATAGTAGGGGTACGATAAAGGGCCTTATATATCTATACTACCAAGATTATCCAACTGTCACAGAGTGGGGGACAGTACCCAAGGTATTCCATACATCCCTCAGCCCTATGCAGGCCTCAACTCAACCCAGCCCAAGCCTAAACCCTAGACCCTCTCAAAACCCTTTGAACTGGATGTAGTGCTGCCTAAGGCAATGAGGCCGGAGTGAAAGACACCCTCTTTCGCGACTTCGTCCTCAAGTGCTACCGCCCGAACGACCCAGCAGGAAATCAGGCCACTTTGCCCTATAGGTCCCCGAACCCTAAACCCTACACTGTGTGAACCCAAAGCCTATACACTGTGTGAACCCAAAGCCGTGGCTCTCCCCCCGTGACATTCACTCCAGGGCCCTGCAGATACCAATTCATAACCCCAGCTGAACCCGTGCAATGCAACATGTGTGATTTGTTTCTGCTTGTAATACTTTATACACAAAAGGGAATGTACCTGTAAAGACTGGTATAGCTTGTGTGCTGTGTCGCTCGTGTCAAATGCTTACATATACGTACATACATACACATACATAGACATGCACACGCACATGCACATGTACATAGACAGACACACACACACACAGACACAGATACATCAGACACATAACCACATTCGCATGTACATAATACAAAAAATACACATGCACATGCACGTATATGTATGTATATATATATATACACAGATACAGATACACAAATATACATATACACCTATATACCTTTGCATCTTGGTATACTTGTATACGTACACAACACATGCAGTACATCTCCATGTGTCATGTTGTGTCCTGCAGGCCAGAATCGAATGCTTGATCAAGTACCGGCGAGAGAAGGTCCGGTCCCAGCGAGCGAATGTCATCCGGGCATGGATGACGGAGGAGGACATGGTCTTGGCCAAATGGTCCCCGCCGGGACCTTGGGAACCTTGAGACCGTTGCCGTAGCAGACATGGGCTCTCATATTATTCTTTGAAGTGAGTGAGTCCCAGCTGAGGACCAAGATCCAGGGTGCGATCAAATATTGCACGGCTCACAAGCTCGTCAAGAGCTTTGCTTGCAAATCCTACATGTAGTCAGTGAGTCAGTGTGGGCATTGGATCCACGCATGAGACTGCCTATCGGCGACCCTAAGGAAATGCATCTACACGAACATGGACAAGTACCTAGTGGAGGTGGAAGACCGGGTGGACGACGAGAGCCTGCAGTCACTCCGACTTCAGGAGGAAGTGCAAGCAGCAGCTGGAGAGCTGCCAGACGACTTTGCTGGCTTTAGTTTGCATCTGGCTCAGCACATGGGGTTGGATGACTCCCCCGGTTCGAAGCCAGATGATGCAAAGACGAAGCTTGATTGCTACCCCCCGATGGAGTTGAGCAGATTGTCGGAGCGAGTGAAAAAGTATAAAGATCATGCTTTGACTCGCAAGACAAAGTACAACAACACGGCCGACAAGCTTCGTGATGAAGGCTGCAAGGGCCATGAGAGCCTTTGTCTGCAACGACAAAAAACCCATAGCGCCTATAAACCCTAAGCCCTATAGAAGCCATACATAACCCCTATACCCAAACCCCTAAACCCTGAATTTGTTTCTATATGTAGCCTCTCCCTCCTACGCAAGCTGCTTCTCCTGAGGAACGATCTGGATGAGCTGAAGAAGTGCCTGGGTGCCTCGATGCATTGATTTTCCTCAAAACCCTATAAACCCTAAACCCGGTAAGCCCTAAACCCTATAATAACCCTAAACCCAACCCGACAAACCCTATAAAGCCGAAACCATACACGTGGTGTGCTTTATGTTTGGAGGTTTGTTGACACATATTGTGCTTGTTGGGCTCTCTACTTTCCTCGGGCCGTGGCTTTGTAGATATTCCTATGAGCCCTGTCTATAGTCTCCATTATATATATGTAT